GAAAAGAAAAGAAAAGAAAAGAAAAGAAAAGAAAAGAAAAGAAAAGAGAAGTAAAGAGAAGAAAGGAAAAAAGATGAAACGAAAATGTTGTCCCATTAATTACAGGCAAAATTTTAGATCGGAAAAACTTCAAGATTTAAACTAAAGAAAACGCAGATAGAGAGAATCTGAGCTGAACTGTAAAGTTTTAAAATTGTGAAAGCGATTTTAACGAATAGAAAACTTCGGAACACGGCTGAGTAAACTTGCATCAATTCAACCAGACATACTGTAATGTTACAGTATTTTGAAAGTTGCTATTAATTGCAAAGATATAAGTTTAAATTAAAAAAAAAGATAAATAATGACTATTCTAAGATGGAAAAAGGTAAACACAGAGATCGTAAAACCTAGCTATAACACAATTAACATCGAAATTCAAAAATGTTTGTATCGATAAATTTCGTGATATTTTTTTAACAAGCACATTGCATGAATATGATATGAAAACTAGGACATATGCATATTTGTTTCTATAGCACTACAGATATTCCTTGAATTTGAATTATTCCTACAAATTGACATACCAAAAACCATCGCTGTCGCTGTCACTACAACTACAAAAACGCATGTACTTCAGATTTTCTATGCATTCCCTTCTATATATCATGTATTGTCATATAAGCAGTCATTTAAAGAAACAAAACTGAAGCCCACATATATTTACATGTGTACGATAAAAGCGCAACAACCTCAATGAAAGCATTCAACATAGTTGAAAACTTAACTTCTACATCTTGTAAACGTAATTCATTTCTGCCACTTTCACACATTGTGATGTCACTACCATACGCATTTGTTTATGCACGTGTACATATAAACGTGCCAGTTCCTCCCTTCCCAATCCCAAATCAAAAAGAAAACCGAAAAAAAAACATAAAGCATACAAAGTACAGCATGCACAATGGCGTCAGTTTTGATTTTTTTCCTCATAATGTAGCGCTTATCATTGAACGTGAAAGTTTGTATGTGAAGAGAACGGTAAAAAATTGCATTTTCTTGGCTTTAGCAATTTCCGCATCAATAGCAAAAGAATGGGTTTTGAATTTTTATGATTGGTTTCGGGGCATTGCCAATAGTTCCTTCTTCTGCACTTTTCTTTTTCTCCTCTTTTTTTTTGTGTTACTTTTTGCTAAAGTTACACAGCTATTACAATCAATGCTGTTTGCTGTTATTGCGTTCACGTTTCAATACGATAGTGTGAGTGTGCTTTTGAAGTCGTACGCAATGTGACGTGTTGCTAAAATTTTTGGTATCGACATTTATACAATTTCTTAGCAATCACTTTGCCGTAGGCGATATATTTATAACTTTTATACTCGCCACAGAAGGATATACACTAACACCATTTACACTCTCTCTCTCTCTCTCTCTCTCTCTCTCTCTCTCTCTCTCTCTCTC